TATTACAAACACTACTTGTATGGCAAACAGTTTTTAGTCAGAACAGATCACAGTTCTTTGAAATGGCTAATGAACAGCAAGAATCCAGAAGGCCAGCTTGCTCGATGGTTTGAATCGCTGAGCAATTTTCAAATGACCATTGAACACAGACCAGGGAATAAGCATGCAAATGCTGATGCCCTTAGCCGTTTACCTTGCAGAAAAGCATGTTGTACATCTTCTGAAAGTATAGTTAATACTATAAGTAGTGTAACACCTAAGGATAATTTGTCTTTGAAAGCCAAACAAAACGACGACAGAGATATAAATCAACTGATCAAATGGGTTGAAAAAGGTGTTAAGCCGGAGTCATCAGAGATTTCTGGTCAAAGCAACTTCATTAAGTCTCTATGCTCTCAGTGGGATGCTCTGGTATTAGAGGATGGAATGCTCTTCCGAAAGAAAAAGCACGAAAATGGCAAAGTTTCTCTGCAAGCTGTTGTGCCATACAGTGAAAGACGAACAGTGTTAGGACAGTTCCATGATGAAAGGACATCTGCACATCTTGGGATAAAGAAAACATTGGCGAAAATAAACTGCAAATACTATTGGCCAGGATTGCAGAAAGATGTTAAATTGTACATTGCTGGTTGTGAAAAATGCCAAAGGCGAAAATCACCAAATACTACTAAACGTGCCCCGATGCAAGTTGTCACTTGCGGCGCACCAATGGAACGTATTGCTACAGATATATTAGGCGAACTTCCCATGTCCAATAATGGTAACCGATATATACTAGTCGTATCGGATTACTTTACTAAATGGACAGAAAGTTTTCCTATGGCTAATATGGAAGCCGCAACTGTAGCTAAGGTGATAGTGGAAGAAGTCATAGCCCGCTTTGGAGTGCCTGGAACTATTCACTCCGATCAAGGAGTCCAGTTTGAAAGCAATCTTTTTACAGAAATGTGCCGGCTTTTGAATATAAAGAAAACACACACCACCCCGTACCACCCCCAATCGAACGGGATGGTCGAAAGATTTAACAAAACTCTTGCTACCATGTTATCAGCCTATGTCAATGAGCACCATACGGATTGGGACGAGCATCTCCCATACGTAATGATGGCATACAGAGCAGCAGTCCACGAATCAACGGGTGCAACTCCAAACAAAATGATGTTAGGTAGAGAGGTCGCTACACCTTTGGATATCGTATACGAGGTCCATTCTGATATTAAGAGAATTCCACAGAATAGATGGGTTTGGGAGTTACAAGAAAAATTAGAAGAAGCACATGCAGTTGTCAAGGAAATGACAAAAGAGAGTATAGAACGACAGAAGTGGTATCATGATAGAAAATTAAACTGGCAGTCATTTAAGCCAGGTGACAGAGTTTACGTTTACTTTCCAAAACGTAAGACTGGTACATCTCCCAAATTTACATCATATTGGCAAGGACCATTTGAAATTATTGAGAAATGTTCCAATGTTACTTATAAAGTAAACTGTGGATACAGAGGTGCAAACCAAGTCATTCATACTGACAGGATAAGGCTAATGAAAGACCAAATCCTAACATCAGAACCTTTGCAAGCGAATAACATTGCAGAAAATACAATGTCTGATTCCTCTGAAAACATTGCTGAAGATGCTGAGGAAACATATGAAAAGGAGAGTTTTCAGGCAGATGGCAAACGAAAGAGAAGCAGACCAGCCTACCTTAGTGATTATGTCTCTTTCTGAATACAGTATGTAAATAAAAATGAGTTGGGTAGGAAATACTACTGCAGTTTTAAAGTTCAATGTTTTTAACCATCTTATTTACCTATGCAAGGACGCATATTTTTTTCGAAGGCGTGGGTAATGTAATGATATAGAATATCGATGGTGGATTGAAATGCCTTTAAAATCGTCCAATCATATCATTTTATATTTGACCAATCAGCACTTGATATTATAGCCAATCAGAGTTTTAGAATCATCAACCAATCATTAGTTATTAGAAAGAGTATAAATATAAACACCCATGAAGTATTTGGCTACTTGGTCGTTACTCATCGTTTGAGTAACACCTCCTGGACTAGGTTCTTGGGCTGTGTCGGGAAACAACACAATTGTTCGTTAGACCACTCAGCTCAGGAACCTAGTTCCTTAATAGTGTGTCTCAGTGACTAAAGTGTCTTGGTGACTTTAAATAGTGTCTTGGTGACTTTTATTAAAAGGTGTCTCAGTGACTTTTAGGGTGTGTTTTTAAGGTAGTTGCAGACTGTGTCGGGAAACAACAGGATTGTTGGTTAAACCACTCAGTCTGCAACTACAGTGTTATAACTTCATATTTGATTATTTGCTTGATCGTTAGTGATTCAATTGTGGTTGATTCTTTTCTTATAATTCGTTGTCGTTAAGTTCATATTTGTTTGCTAATCATTTATCCAGATAGGACCGAGGAAAAAGTATATATACATAGTGAATTTCAGTCAGTTTCTTGTTATCGTGCCATTGTTGTTGAAGTTTGTTTGATTCATATTATAAACGTGATACTTAGGAAGGAATCCTAAGCGGACCTATTAAATAATTATTTGTACTTTGTAAAAAACGTTACAATAGTAACTTGGGAATGAAAATGTAGGTCAGATCCAGCATCCGAAGTTAGTCTGGTAGTGTCCATTCATAGATACACACCCATGCAAGTTTGGTTCAGGTAGAGGCTTATAGTTACTTGGGAATGAAAATGTAGATCAGATCCAACATCCGAAGCAAGTCTGGTAGTGTCCATCGCTAGATGCAAGTTTGGTCCAAATAGGGCTTATAGTTACTTGGGAATGAAAATGTAGGTCAGATCCAGCATCTGAAGCTAGTCTGGTAGTGTACATCCCTAGATACATCATCCATGCAAGTTTGGTTCAGGTAGGGCTTATAGTTATTTGGGAATGAAAATGTAGGTCAGATCCAGCATCCGAAGCAAGTCTGGTAGTGTCCATCTCTAGATGCATCATCCAAGCAAGTTTGGTCAAAATAGGGCTTATAATTCCTGTGGAATGGACCTGCTCCAAAAACTTTAACCTGGTCACTCATCTGGAAAATGTAGGTCAGATCCAGCATCCGAAGCAAGTCTGGTAGTGTACATCCCTAGATGCATCATCCATGCAAGTTTGGTTTAGCTAGGGCTTATAGTTACTTAGGAATGGACCTGCTCCAAAAACTTTAACCTGCTCCAAAAACTTTAACCTGGTCACTCATCTAGAAAATGTAGGTCAGATCCAGCATCCGAAGCAAGTCCGGTAGTGTACATCCCTAGATGCATCATCCATGCAAATTTGGTCCAGGTAGGGCTTATAGTTCCTTGGGAATGGACCTGCTCCAAAAACTTTAATCTGGTCACTCATCTAGAAAATGTAGGTCAGATCCAGCATCCGAAGCAAGTTCTAGTACTGTACATCCCTAGATGCATCATCCATGCAAGTTTGGTTCAGGTAGGGCTTATAGTTACTTGGGAATGGACTTGCTCCTAAAACTTTAACCTGGGACGCCGACGCTAACGCCGACGCCGACGCCAACGCCGGGGGTATAGCATAAGCTCATCTCGACTTCGTTGAGGTGAGCTAAAAAGTATTTTTAAAGTATAGTGGGACATTGTTTAATATTTTTGTACATTTTACGCATACCTTGAATATAATTTTTGAAGAAAATGAAGCGAAAACTACGACGGCGTATTCGTGCCATTTTAACAATGTAGAATTTTTTTTTTAAATCGTTTGAACGAGTTAATAAATCGTTTGTACGATTTAATAAATCGTTTGTACAATTTAATAAATCGTTTGTACAATTTAATAAGTCGTTTGTACAATTTAATAAATCGTACAATTTGTTTGTTAAATCGTTTGTACAATTTATTGAATCGTTTGTACAATTTATTAAATTGTTTATACAATTTTTTAAAATAGTTTGTACGATTTTTATAAATCGTTTGAACAATTTAGGAAACCGTTTTTACGATTTAAGAAAACGTTTGTACGATTTAAAAAATTGTTTGTACGATTTAATAAATTGTACAAACGATTTAATAAACTGACTTGTACAAACGATTTAACAAACAAATTGTACAAACGATTAATTAAATTGTACAAACGATTTACTAAATTGTACAAACAATTTATTAAATCGTACAAACGACTTATTAAATCGTACAAACGATTTATTAAATTGTACAAACGATTTATTAAATTTTACAAACAATTTTGTTAAATCGTACAAATTTTTTTTTTAAATCGTTCAAACGATTTAAAAAAAAATTTCTACATTGTTGAAATGGCACGAGTACGCCGTCGTAGAAAACCCTTTTATACATGAATGAAAAAATAGTTGGGGTATAAAGAAATGATAATTTTCCCCTCTCTGGAATATGCAATTTCAAAGATGACTAATTTCAATCTTTGAGAGATTGTTGCGCTTTGTGGACATTTGACCTGAAGCATACATTAATTCTTAATGAAATGTCAAAGAATATTTTGTTATAACTGAATTTTAATTTAGTCACATAATAAACATTTGTCCCCTTTATTCACCCATCTTTGCTTTATTTGAAAATATTGTCCCTAAACAGCAGACAAGTGAATTAAAAATATCCTCAAATACATTAGACTGGACCCCCCCCCCCTTTCCCTTTTTAAAAATCAGGGTCAGAAAATGAGCTACGGTTGCTAAATATTTGTAACTTTGTATTAATAAATCACTTCAATCAATATTTCTTCTAAAAAAGTAACTTCAAAACATTACAATTTACTTTAAAAAATTAATGGGTATTTAATTTTGAAAAAAAATTAATCATTCCAATCCATCACTTCAACAACCCCCTCCCACTTGCCCCTTTCAAAATTGATTTTAAATTAAGCATTGGTCTAACTCATCCTTTGATAGGCAACTTTCTACATATACCTTTCATTCATTTGGGACATCCTCCGAACATACGTGGATAAATTTTGATAAATCTTAAATATTTAATATTTTTTTATTGGTCATATCATCATTATACAACATTAATCTTACAGTGTAAATAAATTACTGAGAATGTTCTTCTTTTCAACAGTGAACTTACAAAAATATAAATTACAAAATCCTTTCATCACACTTAAATACAAATATCAGTTTAAAGATGGATTTACCCAAAATAAAGACATTAACAAAACAGCATCAGAGGATTTGCCGAGAGGAAATATGAAGGACTTCCCCCCACTGAAGTTGAACAAGAGATTCTGAGAGATGCATACACTATATTTTAGGCAGGACTTTCACTAGGACTTTGTATCCGAGTTTTCTTTCTTGGTTTAGATCATGATTCGTGATCACTAGCTTTTCTTCCTCATTGTAAAATGGGTTCTAATTCCTTTTTTGCTCCTTAATTTTTCAGTCCTCTAAGGTGCTCCTACAGAATGGGCAGTGACCTTTCTGAAGATACTGGAGTTCAAAGTCATCAGTGTGGAACAACTGACAATAGAACAAATAATCACATTTACTGAATGATAACAACAAAATAATCTCTATGAGAGTGAATAAAAAACTGCTGAATTTTCTTTTTTTTGTAGGTTTCAAAATATTTTTTGGCAGTGTAATGATGATTAAATTAATTAAACTACACTGCATTTCCCATAAAAAATTCTTTAATATAACTTATTATTACACTTGGGACAAAGAGTAATAGTGATCAAATACTGGCAATACATTATACTTTAGGAAATTTGAAAGTTTTGACCTAAGACCTTAGTACTGTAGATCACTTAATTTTCGCGACACCTTATTTTCGCGAGATAGTCATTGACTCTTGATTAGCAAGACAAAATTTTCACGAATTGTGGTTATTACTCTATATAATCATAAGGAATGCTATAATACGCGAGAATTAAATTTTCGCGAGCACACTGTCTCGCGTAATTACGCGAAAATAAAGTTCTCGTGAATAAATAGTGATTTACAGTATGTTTGCTGCATGCAAACCGTGTAATGATTTGACATTTTACACTAAGAAATGTAATATATTACCTTATTACACTTAGGACACTGAGTTATAGTGACATCAGGCAGTAGGGATCTGAAGAACTGGTATCTCAGTGGTTTAGGCCACTTAAGAATGTAAACCTCTGATCTAGATAAAGTTTGTAGAACAGATTTTGTTACAACCACGGGACGGAATTCTGTTTCTTCTTGCTGTAAATAGTAAAATGTAATACAAACTTAATTTCCATTAAATGAATAGAGTGCATAAAACAATACTGAATTTAAAAGACAGAAACAACCCCAAAAAACCTTTACTATCAAATTCCTATTTGCACTATAAATCCCTCTTTACTTACATCAAAGGTCATGAGTTTGGCTGAGAATGGGTCCTCATCCTCAGGTTCATCATCCTGAGCTTGACCTAAACTCAGAGTCTGGGCATCTTAAAGCCAGTCAAGGCAAACTACTACCTCCTACATTAACTCATATATGGGCCAAATTCATCACACTTATACACGGATATAGAAATATATACAAGAGGCCCACGGGCCTTATAGGTCACCTGAGTATATTGTAACAACTTTCAAACAATTAAATTTGGTTCGCGTTTTAAACCAGAGGCCATGAAATTCACAATTCACAATTTTGAAAGAGGCACCATTGCTTATCATAATTATTAACTTAGCATGCTTACTCTATTTACTTAATACCCAGAGGTAGATCAGAGTAACAAAGAGAAAATGCACTTCCACTTTATACCCAGTTGTGCACCTCACCCCAAAGGAACCACTGACCTGGGGCCACATATTTAAAAATTTTGCAAATTTTATCATAAAATGGTTGATTAATACCAAAGAGCAGATTTCAAAGCATTAATTTATTTTCAGACTATGTACCCCCCCCCACCCTTCTGACCCAGGGGGCATAAAAAAAAACTCTTTGCAAGATGCACCTTTCTTTATCATAAATATATATACATGTACTTGGATCATTGGCATAAAACCAAGAAGCAAAGGAAAATATTTTCAAAGAATTAATGTATTTTTACTTTATAATCAATAGAGCCCCGCCCTAACACCAGAACCCCTAATCCTGGGGCCATAAAATTCACAATTTTGGAAAAGGCACTCTTGCTAATCATAACTATGTACTTACTTAGTTTTTTTAATACCCAGAAGCAGAGAAGAAGATTTTCAAAGAATTAATGCATTTTCACTATATATTCTATAGAGCCCTGCCCTAGCACTAGAACCCCTGACCCTGGGGCCATGAAATTCACAATTTTGGAAAAGGCTCTCTTGCCTATCATAACTATGTACTTAATTAGTTTATTTAATACCCAGAAGTAGAGAAGAAGATTTTCAAAGAATAAATGCATTTTCACTATATAATCAATAGAGCCCCGCCCTAACACCAGAACCCCTGAACCTGGGGCCATGAAATTTATGATTTTGGAAAAGGCTCTCTTACTCATTATAACTATGTGCTTAGTTAGTTTATTTGATATCCAGAAGCAGAGAAGAAGATTTTCAAAGAATAAATGCATTTTCACTATATAATCAATAGAGCCCCGCCCTAACACCAGAACCCCTGAACCTGGGGCCATGAAATTTATGATTTTGGAAAAGGCTCTCTTACTCATTATAACTATGTGCTTAGTTAGTTTATTTGATATCCAGAAGCAGAGAAGAAGATTTTCAAAGAATAAATGCATTTTCACTATATAATCAATAGAGCCCCGCCCTAACACCAGAACCCCTGACCCTGGGGCCATAAAATTCACAAATCTGGAAGAGGCACTCTTGCTCATCATAACTATGTACTCAGTTAGTTTATTTAATACCCAGGAGCAGAGAAGAAGATTTTCAAAGAAATAATGCATTTTCACTATATAATCTATATAGCCCCGTCCTAGCACTAGAACCCCTGACCCTGGGGCCATGAATTTCACAATTTTGGTAGAAGACTCAATGCTCATTACATTCATGCCAACAGTTTGCCTGCTTAATGTTCAGGAGTAAAGAAGAAGATTTTTAAAGATTGCACTAATTTTAGAGGTTTTGGCCCCACCCCTCAGGCCCCAGGGGGGCAGGGATCATGAAATTCACAATTTTTGTTTCCCTTCACCCATAGATACTGTATAGCAAATTTGGTTGACATTGGTTCAGTGGTTTCAGAGAAGAAGCTGAAAATGTTCAAATGTTAACACACGACGCACAACGGACGACTGACGACGACAGACGAAAACGGATAGCAATAGGTCACCTGAGTTACTCAGGTGACCTAAAAATGCAAAAATTATCCTTGGAACAGGAAAACAAATTTAAAATTCTCTCATGAACTTCTCTTGAATTTATCTTTGATATGTAATTCATAAATTTTATTACTCTCAGACAAAAGATCCTGAGCATATCTTGGAACATATCTCTCTAAAACTGCATAAATCTAATGTCAGTTTGACTCAGCATGACTTTATCATTGTGATATTAAGGATACGTCCGATGCGCCCCTCCTTCCAGCCTCGATCCTCTTTCTTCTGTTTGGGTATAGACAGGTCCAGGATCTGTACAGCCTCCTCGTCCGTCAGACTGCTGTCTAACACAAACTCCACCAGCGGCAGCACCTCTGTAAAACAACAGATAAACATGTATTAAGTCTTCATTAAGCAAAGACTATCTTTATTAAATTTTGCATCTTTTTCATCACATTTTAAAAATAAATCTGTCGCGCAGATTTCCGTTTCCCTATTCGCTTATTTTCAATTTCATTTTTTTTCAATTTAACAAAAATATTGCTTTTAAGTGTAAAAGAAATTAAGTTATAAAAAAAAAACCTCACCAAATGAGACAAAAGAGTGGACAAATGGTTGTCTACAGTTGACACAGCAGTTTCCTCCATTGTTCAGAAGAGGGTTTGTGGTGGAACAGCGGTAACACATGGGAAGGAGCTCCTAAATCAAAACAACAACCAAATTCAGATTTAAACAAAAAAAAAAAACTTTCAAATTGAAAATGCATCATACTTATTAACGATACATAAAACATAAAATTAGCCATTGTCCAATTTATACACATGTACAATACCTCGGAGTCTTGGAATGCCTTGGATCGGATCATCACACTACCTAGATCTACAGCCTCCTGGAATCTACTGGGTATCCTCAGTGTCTGTAACTTCTCATAGGCGTAACGAGCCAACTTAAAGGCTCCCAGGTTCTTACTCTGCTTGGCTAATGCATATAGTGTCCCTCTTAACACTCAATTAAGGAATATTCAAAAATGAGCAATTTCTTTACTGATTTCTATAGTTCAAAATGGTTCTAACTGAAAAAATTTCATTCTTTGAAATATTTTTGTTTGCAATGTACCAGAACTGTATGGACTTGTAAATTTCTTCTGAAGTCTGTTTAAGTTATTTTAAATAAGAAGAATTAAATTGAAAGGCATTCATATTTTAAAGTAGCACATGGATCTTTAACCAAAGTTAAATGTACTGTATTAAAACCAAATCAATTAAACGAAGGATACACTTTAGAGATTCCGTGTGGTATTCCACTCTGGATCATATGAAGCAGATATCGAGAAATGTTAAACAGGGCTTCTGGTAGATGTGATGTGAAAGGCTCATCCTGAAACAGACACATTCAATTCAAGTGATTACTAGTACTGACATGAAACAACACATATCATATTGAATGCAAGGACTATGGGATATCAAAAAAACCTATTCATTAAATAATAGTGCAATAATGTACAAAGATTTTTGGGGATCCTGAAAGAGATACCCTTTTCTAAACAAATACATGTGCATGCTTGCAAATTGTATTTCAAGACATTTAAAACAAAGCTACAGAGTTAAATCTAAACTTGCTTCTCTCTAGAATGCTAGACTTACTGTATATCTTTGAATGGAATGGTAGGCGTAATACATGTCAGCCTTCCTCTGATAGTCTTGGAACTTGGCAAACATTTCTTCTCGTTTCTCTGAATCCTCTACAAAAGGAGCCAAGATAAAACTGATGAAATTAAGGTGGAAAAAAGGATGATAATATAGAGTGCAGAGCTCACAATAAATATGATCCCAGTTAAGCTACTTAATTCATGCTCCTGAGCAGTAAAAACATGACAGGTCAAAAAATATTCCGAAGATCAGAAGTTACAAGTTAAACAATAACATAATTTTTGTCAATATTCACACTTCAAGATACCAAGTATTACAATATCATAAACAGTGTAACAACAAAAAAGGATAAGAACACTCAATATACTTTTTTGTACCCCCATTAATTAACATTTTATTAAAAAACAAAAAAAAATTTATATCACAGCAAGCACACAAAGTAAAATCAGACTAAAATTCGTGTTACATGTTATCAGAAAACTAAAACTTAATTAGGTCAGGTTCTGTGCAGGGAGTATATTTGTCATTTTTTCATCGAATCTTTGGGGGTGGGGGTGTTTCTGCATGAATAAAATTTCAACACATGGGTCAACAATAATAAATCTGAATGTCACTCCAATCTTAATTGTGTGGTATAAAATGAAAGGGTGCAAGTTTACAATTATTCATACCACTGTTCTCTGTATAAAGCAGAAATTTAGAAAGATCAGACATATGTACATGTGCAAGAACTAAAACATACAACTCTTCTTCTTAATACTCAATATACATCATACTAAACATAGATTTGTAGCTCTCTAATACATGATATATCAAATTCTTTTTCTCATTTTAAGGGGTATCAACTAAAGCTCTTGTAAATCTTTCATGCTAGTTTCATTTTCCACCAGCTATTAGCATCTTTTTAGCATTTCTAAGCATATACAACCATTTCAATCTCCCAATCATGCTTAGAACTATATCTTTTACAGAATGGCTGACAAATTTGCAAACAATTTTTAACTCGCCATGATAACCGTTCATACTAGCTCAAAAAATTGGAATTCAGCGATATCTATTTCTTGAAACTCCTAAAAATGGACTTTCTGGCTGTTACATAGGTACTGTGGAATCATTTTAATTTGTGGTTGCCAAAATTTGAGGATAACTAAAAATTTAGAGTTTGTGGGAAATATTTTTCAATTTTTAAGAAGCTGAATGTCTTGTTGAAGATTTCAATTACGATTTTTGATGAGACTGTAAATTCTTGAAAATAAAACTTCTGAAAAATACTGACATAAATTCCACAGTAAAAAAGACTGGCACTATAACAAACCCTTGTTTTTCAAAGACTTATAGCTGGACTAGGGACAATGAACTTCTAATTTTTTTTCACATATCAAGAATATTTTAATGTTAGCCATTGAAGCAACAAAATAACCCTGAATACAAATACAAACCATCTTCTTCTTCTGAAAACAGGCAAAAACAACTCAGATTTTCAGAAAGGTAGTTTTATATTATATTACTACAACTGACAAAAATACAAAAAAAACAACGAAAAGCATCATGGAAAAAAATCTTAAGTGATGTTGCTCTTGTTAGGTCACCCACCTCTTGCTATATCCAGACACTGCATGGAGATTTTCCAGAAATATTACCCGGCATCATTGAAGCGACTCTCAATAACAGCATTGTGTGTTAGCTGTTCCAGGACCTTGACTGCCTCCCCCTGCAGACCAGCCTTATGGAATGCTACAAAAAAAGAACATTTCAACTCCCTTCCCTTAAATTTATGTCTCTTGTTAAAAAAAAATCAGACATTTTAACAGAAATAGTTTAGAATATTCACCCTCTTGAGCATCATCAAACTTGTCGTTCTCGGCGAGCCATTGAGCGTACGGTACATAAACCTCCTCCTTGTACTCAGGGTGTTTTTCAGCCAGAGCGAAGGCCTGCCACAGAGATACAGTCATTATTAAAAGGGATATATATTTTAAATTATCACTACTTGTCATAAAACTATCAAGAGCTTGGCCTTGCAGTAGATGTTGACATGCCTTTATTCAAATTACTGTAGATTCCTAAATATACGCGTGTAATTAATTATCGCGTAATTTCGCGAGAAGCGCCACGTGCGAAATAAAATTACTCGCCTTTATTTTTCTGGTGCTGAAATCTATGTAAAATCTCTTGATCAACTGTCCATTCGCAAATTGTTATTCTCGCAATTTGACGGTGAAGAGCCCATTCGCGATAATAAGTACTCGCGAAAAATAAGGAATCTACAGTACACCAAACAGCCAAACAGTGCATACTGCAAGACTTTAGGGGGTAAAATTTTATTTTTAACAAGAAATCAAGTGAAAGTTATTCATACATCTTCCCAGTGTTTGGCCTCTACATGAAGGTTTATGAGGGCTTTAATATCTCCCATTTTACTGTACACTTCAGCAGCGAAGGGGTACTGCTCCATTTTGGTCAAGTGCATGGCGGCTCGACTCAGAGCTTCACGGTCAGCCTTGTCTAGCTTACGGGCCAGGTCTATCATCCTGTAAATAGGTCAATTTTCAAATATATATCATTTTTGTTTTAGTCACAGGAACATTCAGAACTCTACATGATCAAGATAATAAAGAAACAAATCCAAGTTCTTGTTCATAATACCAAAATGGTTTACAAATGCAGAAGCATGCATATATGTCCATGTAAATAAATACATGTATCATTTGGACCAAAACCTTCATTGTAGTTAAAATTAAATCTTACATGTCAGCCCATCCGTGTTCCCCTACAATGTCAATAGCCTTACAGTACTCCCCAGCTGAAATGTACATTTCAGCAGCAGCCTTTGGCTCATTACTGCTCTTGGCCCAGTCAGCCTGCTTAGTAATTAGCATCTTCTTATCCAGAGGGTCTCCAGAGCCAATGTATTCCTGTAAATACAGCTTACTTACTTAATATCTGAATCCTAAATAAACATATTCCAATCGATTCAGTACACCTGGTCAGTGACAAATATCTTGATATTCTAACATCAGTGCTAACTTTTTATTGTAAAATGAGCACATGTTTAATAATTTTATTTAAAATGTAATTTGCAATTTATTATGAAAACATTTTAAGAATTCTGTATATAATGTTGTTTATTAAACCTTGGCTTGGTCAAACATCCTGAGGTCTGTATACATATTCATGGCCTTCTGTTCTCCTCCGGCTTTTTTGTACAGTTTGGCGGCCTCGTTGAATTTCCCTTGGTAACTGTACACATCTCCAAGGAAGATCATGTTGTCATTTTCACCTCTCTTTTTCCTCTCCTGAAATCAAATAAAATTCTTTTTTAAATACTGCTCTAATATTATTATTTTATTCAGATTTATCCATTCTTTTTTACTCTTTTCTCCTCAGTTGAACACACCTAACATTTCCATACACTGTAACCAGAGAAAATACAGACCTCTATGGAGTGGATGAGCTCCAGATAGCGGAGATCCTTGATTCTGATGAAGGCTTTCTTGGCCGTGTCGAAGTCCAACCCCTCAAGAGCCTCATGGGCCAGAACTTCCCAGTCCCCGTCTGTCACCCCTAAACAGGCTACCTTGTAGGCATCCCTAGAAATTAAAGGGTTCAGTGAGCTTATATGCAAGCAATTATAGTAATTCACATGAGAATATTTAAAGTCTTTTGCTTTGTTATCATTTAACTTTTTTAAAGAACATCAATGGTTATGTTAGGAGCAGAATACAATCAGCACACTTTGTTATTACACCAATCAAGATATCCTTTGCAAATACCCTACAAAGGGCTAGTACTTTCTATCATGTTTATTTTGCCCTATTACACTTTCAATTTCTTTCCTTTTGAATTTTCCCATGAACAGTTGTGTTAAAGAAAAGTTAATTGTCCCATTGTTGGAGGCAATATTAGGATGAAATTTACCCAAACACATTACTTGGAAACCATTTTCTTTACAAAAAATAATGTCCCCTACCCCTTTCTATACAAATATCTGGATAGAAATTTCTTATAAACAAGACTTGGCAGTGTGTTGGATGTCTGTACTTACTTGAAGAGTTTCTTTTCTAGGTACTGGTACATGGAGGCTGATTGTGGAACATCCACTGAGGACATGGAGTAGATGTGGAGACAGAAAATCTTAGATCCACTGAAGCCCACCACAAAACCCTGTAAACACAATATACATTGTTAGATCAAAATCTTAGATCCAATGAAACCTATAAAACCCCGTCATAAAAACACACAATGTAAATTTTAATTCTACAGTGTCATATAGAAAATTAGTAAGTAAAGTACAGATTTATGTCAGCCCTACAAACTAAATTATGAATATGCTGTCATCCTTATTCTATTTTATACTGAAACCATCATTCAGTTTAATTAAACCAAAAGGGCCAAGTACATGTTATAGCAAACAAACAATAACAGCAATAATTTCATGAATGTAAATGTACATGCGTGTACAACTGTGTTCACATTTTTTTATGGATGTATCTTTTTTTTCAAGTACATATTAATAAATGTACACTGTGTTAAGTGAAAAAAATCCCATCTAAATCTAAGTTGATATACAGCTGTAACCATGACCATTTTTCACAGCAATACCTTCTATCCCTTAAGAATTTAAAGATATTCAGCTTTGCAAAGAGTGCAGTAAAGAGTGCAGCAACTTGGAACAAGAGGCCCATGGGCAAAAACACTTAGCCAAGCACTCTCCCCCTACCCCTTTACCAGATAAATTTATGTAAAGGAAACACCTTTTTTGGAACCAAAGTAAGTCAAATGATTGAAAAAACACTAATTAGTTTGCAAATAATCAATATGAAATATTTTTCTTAATGGCCCAAGCTTAAACTATACTGAATATGCTCATAGTATACACATATACACTAAATGTAAATAAATACAGACAGTCAGACATATGGACCATTTTAATCAGAAAAGCTCACTTGAGCCTTTGGCTTTGCAGAGCTAAGAACTAATCAAACATGTCAACAAAGTACAAAAAAAAACTGAACAATCATAAATCACTCTTACCTCCTAATAACCAAAGAAAAAAAAAATTAGGATTAAATACAAATTAGTGAATGTAAGATAGTCTTTCTACATAAATTTGTATCATTTCTTTATAAGATTCCACACAAACTCCAAAGTCGACCCTTACTTGAAGCTTCTGAACATGAACTGGGAAATTGCTGGCCTTGATGTTGAGTAACCCATTCCCAGAAAAACAGAGCATGTCTTCATAGTGTGTATTCCAGGCTACACTGTTAGCATTCGGTTCCTGTAGAAAGAAAGCCAAAAATATTAAATCAATAAGTACTACTTATCTATCAACAGATTCATATTAAAACTTAAGTTTTTGAAATACATGAAATTGAAATATTGCATTCATGAAACAATTGAATTTCAAATTTTTCTTATGTTAACAAAATCAATGTCACTAAATTTAGCAAAATACATGTAAATGTACAAAAAAATTGCAGTTAAGGATGTAAACACACCTAGCTAAATAATTCCTGAAAATGATTAATTTTCGTTATTTTTGAAAATTTTACAAACTTTCAACTTTATTTAAAATGCAAAATCATTGTTTAAATGCAGCTTTCGAATCCCAAATAATTAAAATTTTACTTCACTATTTACCTCCCTGTACATTGTATATACAAGGAGAGAAAAATTTTAATGTTGATGTCATACACCAGACCGTTGTGTTTCCAAAAAGCCAGCTTTGTTAGGCATAAATGTCAAATTTCATTGACTTACTCTGCTTTAAGCATTTAACACAAAAACATTGTCATCTTTTTGATATACATATCATCAAAATAATTTTTAAAATTATTTGTTTCAATGAATTTTCAAGGCATAATTGTTAAAATTCAAAATTTTTTTTATACTTCATGTTATCTTGGTAAAAAACTGCAATTAGAGCTATATGCACAGTATATGTATATTCAAAACTTTATCAAAATTCCTGAAAGTATGTCGAAATGAGAAAAAGAGACATTACCCCCTCCCCACAACATAACAGAACCATTACCAAAAGTATATGTATATCAGTACAAGTGTTGAATTAAGATACACATTTTATAAAAAAACAATAGTGCAGGAATATACTTTTGACATAAACAGAACAATATATTAATTACAAATATTCAGGTTGGCCTTTAATGAAAAGGTGGTTAAAGGATGACCTTGTGGAGGTGAATTTTTGAAAGGTCAAGCACCCACCTGACCATTCTTCAGGCCAACCAGAAGAGCCTCGCTGCCCAGCGGGTGATTGGGCGTGACACGTACCTGCCCATTTTTAAACCAATGAGCCCCTCGCGACCTAAATATGACCTTGATGTAAATCGATATATGGACTCCATCAGCCATTCCCGCTCACATGATTCCTTGGAACTTGAGTAGCACTGATTTTTCCTATTCAAATATAGAACAATATGGTACAAAATCCTACATCTATATAAATCAATTAAATGTTAGACACGCTCTGTATGTCTTTGATTTTGACTGCACACTTAGGAACATACTGCATGCTTTCTAAACTGTAACTTTCATATTTTACATCATATAGCAAAAATGGCTGCATGTAGACATAAAATTGCAAAATATCAAACATAAACTTATAATTTCAATTTATATCAAATCTCAACATTTATTTACAAAAAAAAAAAAAAAAATCAAAGCTTGTGATTCTATTTTGCAAATGGTGCTTCAATCAAAATTATGTAGTTATGAGAATATTTAGAAGATGAATTTAAGATAATATTGTATTCAGAATTATAAAATTTATCTACAAGGTTTTTATTTCAGCTTACCTGACAAAGAATGATATTTTGGGAAAACAAACCACAAGGAGATTACACTCAAACTTCTTGTTAATCTTCTCCTTGACTTTGTAACATATCAATTTTACATCGTCCGAGTACAGCTTTTTGTATATAACTATCTTGTCCGGTAGCTGTACCTAAAATGAAAAGTTTTATCTTTCAATGGTTAAAATTTGTACTAACTTATGATTTATTACATTAATTATTTTGTATGAATGAAAGCAAATACTAAATGACTTACTGCTAGTCTGTGTCTATAAATAGCTATCTTCTTAACCAAGTCTCTGCATTTGATCCTCACTGAAATATGGACAATTTTTGTTATGTCCAATAGTACATTTACAGTCTATGTAACAGGGACAAGAAAAAATGATCTATAAAGTATTGAAAGTATTCTATTTAATCACAGCCATACATGTATATCAGTATACTTTTGTTAAAAAAGAATAAAACTTAATACTTCTATGTAATAAACAATTCACAAGAAAATCTTTAATTTATATAACATGAAATGGAAAACACAAAATTAATACCATACTTTATAAATAAATTAGAATTCCTGATTCAAAAAAAAAATAAAATAAAATACCCTGATAAGGTAATGAGAAAAATAACCCAGTAAACCTTAAAATACACGAATCAAATCCATGCAAGAAAAAAGAAAAAGAAAAAAATTTAAAACCAGGAAAATATATGCAACCAAACTAAAAATGTCAGAACCAGAAAACCTGATAGACTTCTGTGGCCTCTATATATTGGGGACTGACAAACTCCCAACTCAGACACAACTTTGTTTTTGGCTTTTGACAGAACTGAGTCTTTATCATAATACATTTCCTGCACAAATCTACAGTTGTGCAAGACTTGATATCCATTCTTTATCAACATTTCCTGCCTCAGGCATTTCACTAAAGGGCAAAAGAAGAATTTCATAAATTATAAAATTTACAGTTTCATAAAATATAAACTTTACAGCACTTGGATTACACAATGTATGCAGTACCCAAGCTATTTAAATTGAAGATATAAATTTATAAATGTATATCTGTAATTTTTCCAAAAGAAATAAAAACTTATCTCGAATTTATAATTGCATAAATATTTTGAATATCGTGGAGGCATTAGCCAAATGCTTAACTAAACAAATAGGTTGACTGAACGGATTTCAATGGGCATAAATGGAGTGTTTTGTGCCTGTAGTTTTTCATACTTATTCACTTCAGGTTCAAGAAAGATAGATTCATGAGAGCTTTTGGACTTAACATTTTTTAGAAAAAAAATTACGTCATTCTACTGATACTAAGTTTATTTTTCTGTAATTTTGCTAGTCATTATAATAAATTTAAAAATACCAAGGCCTTTCATAAATAAAACAGACATAAAACATAGGTAATCAGAGATTACAGAGCTCACCTCAACGAATGTTGTCTTTAAGTAAGGCAAAGTCACACAATTAACCAACAAAAAGTATACATTCCAAAAATGAAAATATTTTTAAAAGCAATTTTGATCTGATACTTTGAAATAGACCTACATAAAAATTTTTAACTACTTCTTCTTCATGAAAATGTAATGAAAATCCAGCATCTGAAGCAAATTTGAGAGTTTTCATCTCTTGATGCAGCATTTGTGCAAGTTTGGTTTATACAATGTTATATAAGCCTTATAGTTTTTGGTAATAGACCTGCAACCATAACTTTTACCTTGTCTATTATCTGAAAAATGTATGTCCAATTCAGCATCCGAAGCAAGTCCATTAGTGTGCATCCTCAGATGTATCATCCACGCAAGTTTGCTCATTATAGGGCTCATAGTTTATTGGAAATGAAACATGCATCAAAACTAACATTTTCACTCATCCACAAAAAGAAGGTCATTTTCAGCATCCGAAGCAAGCCTGGAAGTATGCATCCTTAGATGTATCATCTATGCAAGATTGGTCATTAAAGAACTCATAGTTCCTTGGAAATGAAACCTGCACTAAAAACTTTTAACTATTCACTCAACCGGAAAATGTAGGTCAGATTCAGCATCCGAAGCAAGCCTGTAGTGTGCATCCTTAGATGTATCATCCATGCAAGTTTGGTCAACATAGAGCTTAAAGTTACTTGCAAATGAAACCTGCAAAAAAAACATTAACCTATTCGCTCAACTGGAAAATGTACAAATTCAGCATCCGAAGCAAGCCCGGTAAATTTGCATCCTTAGATGTATCATCCATGCAAGTTTGGTCAACATAGGGCTTATAGTTACTTGGAAATGAAACCTGCACCAAAAACTTTAACCTCAACTGGAAAATGTAGGTCAGATTCAGCAGATCCTTAGATGTATCAACCATGCAAGATTGGTCAACAGAGGGCTTATAGTTACTTGTTAATTGGAAATGAAACCTGCACCAAAAACTTTAACCTGTTTACTCAACTAGAAAATGTAGGTCAGATTCAGCATCCGAAGCAAGCCCGGTAGTATGCATCCTTAGATGTATCATCCATGCAAGTTTGGTCAACATAGGGCTTATAGTTACTTGGAAATGAAACCTGCACCAAAAACTTTTACCTGTTCACTCAACCGGAATATGTAGGTCAGATTCAGCATCCGAAGCAAGCTTGGTAGTGTGCATCCTTAAATGTATCATCCATGCAAGTTTGGTCAACATAGGGCTTATAGTTACTTTGAAATGAAACCCACACCAAAAACTGCACCAAAAATGTTAACCTGCTCCAAAAACATTAACCTGGTACATGTAATTCCTTTGCTGAAATTGCAGCATCTGAAACTTTGTCTGGTACAATAAAACACACTAAAACCATCTTCCATGCATGTCTAATCAGTATAGGACAGTGCAGTACTTAAAGTGAAAACTGCTCCAAAAAACTTAACCTTAACCTGGGACGCCGACGCCGACACCGACACCGACGCCGACGCCGATTATATAAATTTAAAAATACCAACTTCGTTGAGGTGAGCTAAAAAGGAAAATTACATTACTACAACATATTAAGAAATAAATTTCATGTGATGATCCCAAAATGACTACAAATCAGAGAAAAGAATACATTTCCAGACAGCCAATGAGAATAAAGCACTATAGGACTATTGACCAATCAGACGTGAGAAGCCTCACCAAGGTAACTGTCCTGACTAAGTGAAAAATTGTGTGTTTTCTCTGCTATTGCCAGAATGGAAAGGACAAGAATTCTAATCAGTAGCTATTCAAAATGTATGTACATCAACCAAAATTCATGAAAAAAATTTATATTCTAAAAATCTAATCATATCACATCAACATGATCAAAATCAACAATAAATCTTCAATTTAAAAAGAATGGATTTAATACATTAATAATTTTCTGTTTTGTGATATACTCTTCATAGTTTTTTGAATTTATTTTATACTAAAATTGTTTTTTTTTTCAGAAATAGAAAACTGATAAGACATTTTATAATATCATACATGTTAACCTGTTGTGATGAAAAATAGGGAGATTCAGACCTCAAAAGCGGTAGCATTGCGCACGTTGTTTTACACTTGGATTTATGACGATATATTGCTTGTAATATATACATGTTTGGTCTTAAATGAAAACTACAAGAATTAATCTTTAATATCAACTGCAAAGAAGTAGACAGAAACACCTTAAGTTTGATATAAATTATACAAATTCAAATATTTTTCATGCTCATCATTTTGCTTTGATTGGCTCTTAACTTAGCCTTTTGAAGAGTGATCTTTGCTGATATAGCCTAGAAGCAATAATTCTGAATGTTTATTCAGTTATCAAACACAACAAATGATGACATAGTTTAATCTACATCTGAAACTAGTTCCCAGTCTAGACGCTCCTATCTTTCGTTAAATATATCGGATTTCCCGCGATGATCGAAAACAAAAGTAGAGATGTGCCTCATGAATTGGTCAAACGAGTGATTTCTATTGACTTTATTGATAAAACTGTGAGCTTCTGTGCTTTTATAGATGATGTCAAACGTTTTCATCCAATTCTAAAATGCTGTATCTTCTTTTTCATGGCAGTAATTTCGACAAAATATATCATAACAAATGTAATCACTGACTTTTGTTCTGTAGTCGTTGTCAAATACGTGCTTGAAATCTATGTACACATCAGTACAAAAAAAGCGTTTGTAAGCTTCCGGGTCAAATTACGTGATATCTTACGAGATTTTATGACGAGTGGCTTCAAAAATGGATACCCAAACAAACCAAAAATACTTTAGACAAAACTTATGTAGAAAAGCGGTAGATTTACGAATAAAATCGGTAGGCGGGAGATGGAGTGAAAAAGCGGTAGACTCCCGCCTAAATCGGTAGAGTTAACATGTATGATAATATATAAGTCAAAAACTTAAAGCCTAGAAAAATATTGTGCATTTTGAGAGATCTCCATATGCATACTTTAAACTTCATTCAAAAAATCTAGTGCTAATCAAGTCCCTCATTCAGCAATCTCTTTCAAAAAGCACAAAGGATAACACAGCACACTGTTCATCTACCATAAAAATCAAATCAACTTAAAGCTGCATATTTACACATTAGGCTACTATTTTGTGTGGGCATATTTACACACTAGGCTACTATTTTTGTGTGACTTCTTACCTTTCTGGTCTGTGATAAGATGCTGGATAATGACATCAGTCATGTTGTCTCTGTAGGCATATCTGTCCTTATACAAACCGTGGACAGTACTGAAAATCAGCTGGTAATAGGCGATAGTCCCATCCTGGCAACCTACAGCCTGAAAGAATAAAAAAAATTAGGTGAAGTTTAACTTCTGTATCTCAAACATTGATATCTCCTATACCATGAATGTGTCTAAGTGATTTGGAATTCCAAACCACTTTTTATTGTTTTACCCTCAATATCTTGAATTTTCGGATTTCTCTGAGTTTTTTCTTGGTTCCATTGAGTTTCAGATAATGATGTTTATATCTGCAGTTAATGTGACTTTTAACAACAGCTTTAAATTCTAATTTTCTTATATTAATATTTTGATCATACAAGAATTAAATTCTTTGACAACTGTTAAATTTTGTTTTTAGTAACAATATTTAATATTTGACACTGGTTTATCAATTATCATTATCATGTCTGAGTTTTGCTGACCACATAGTTTGAGTCTGGGTTTGACCATTAAATTGGATTTTTACTGACCACATAGTTTGAGTCTGGCTTGATTGCTGCTGACCATGTCCATGTAGACTGGTCTCCAATGACCCCCAGTTTGACCCCTTCCTTTGTGTGGAGACAGCACTGTTTGTTGGAGCCTCCCACTACCACATACTCCCCACGGGAAAACCAGCGGACATAGTTAGGGTCATAACCAAGATTTCTGTCTTTTCCAATCTACAAAATTATTATCACATTTGAAAAATCCATACATGTATATAAATACTATTCAAATGAAAATTCTCATAATAAAGTTACAGTAAAACTTGGTTATAATGAAGTCACTGGGACCCATGAAATTACTTCGCTATATCCTAATTCGTTATATCCGTATAAGAAATTTGTGAAATTTATATACTGTAGATTGGTAAATAATCACGATAGTTTTAATTTCGCTATGTTCGCGATTTTTCATTTTTCTGCGATATTAAACCCATCGTGAATTCTATTACTATTTCTTAGATACGTTTAGATGCTTACATAAAATTTGAATTAATTTCCTGCAGCGTGAAATTAAAACCATCACAATTGGTACTTTTTGAGCTATCGTGAAATCTTAACACCGTGGAAATAAAACGATTTAATACAGTAGTTGGCCAACTTGGGGATCCATGATAACTTCACTATATGTGTGAATTCGCAATATCCCTGTTTGTACTAAACAAGTTTTACTGTATGCTTAATTCTAAATCTGATTTTAACAATATTCTTTTCACTATGACATGGTTTGCCACTTCAGTTACTAAATGTATGCTTACCTGTTTCCCAGACAACTGATAGAAACATAACCTTTGACCCCAGTCTGCCACTGCTAGGACATCATAGGATTCGTCTCTGAAAATATTGTATGGCACATTAACTTCACTGACGTTTACTGGTATATCTCAATTGTTTCACTCTCAGTGTTAAAACATACATTTTATGATCAAAATGTACAAGAATTGATACAACTTTTTTTTTCTTATATATATAACATACACTGTATACCCACTCATAAATTTGAATGTGACAGTGATCTATCACTCATTTTATCTAGCATACAAAATGAGTATGTGAAAAAAATATCCCTTTCACCGAAAATCACTACCATTGTAATACATGTACCAAATAACCTGGCCAATCTGTGACTTACTTTTTATTCTTTTGAAATAAATTGATCTCAGACGATCTAAAACAATAGTATGGGACTAAAATATGTATAAGTGTATGAAAGCAAATTACACTGCAAGGTAAGGATTTATCAGTATTCATAAATACTAGTAAAAACCTTGAATTAATGGCTTTTAACAAATATACACCGGATTACACCCACTTAAACATAAAGTATACATTCACTGTTTCTTTTAAAACATATTCTTACACAAAATATATAAGTCTTTAGTTTGACAGGTTGAAGGGACTCCAGTTCAAGAATTAAAGGCTACACTATCATTTTAATTTTACCTTTAAAACAGACCCTGTATTAAAATATTAAAACTTTGGCTATCTTTGTAATGTACCTGCTTGGGTTCCATTGTAAAGACCACACTGGGGAGGTGGCAGCATTAGGTCTCTCTATTTTCACTTTCTCTTCTCCACCCTGTAAATATGAATTGGTTCCATAGAAAATATATAGATAAAGCTACCAGCTTGTGCGAATGTGCATTTACACACTGTATGACTTTTCATGAACTTGCCACAATTCCAGGGATTTATCTAGCTATTTTGTTTTACTACCGTTTTATATGTAAAGAAGAAGCAAGTTCGATCAGTGTTAGAGGCGCGAACACAAAGAAATCACCCCGAAAATTTTTAAATAAATGGAGCAAAATCCTGCATTCTTAGAGCTTCTGAGGGTCATTTGTAGACCTTTACAAAGGCCACAAAAACCACTTTTTAGGCAAAATACTAAATAACACACACAAAAAAAATTAAACCAGGTCAGAACTTTATCTAATTTTTTCTCTAAATATCTATCACAAATCAATTCTGTTTTTCATGTTTCACTACTAACATTGTTTTTGTCGTTACTCCATTTTCAGATTCATAGTGATCTATATAAGCTCCATCTTACTCATCCACACCTTTCTATTTAACTCTGCAATCACTGTATCTTTAAATCATGGACTTGGCACATGTTTACTTCAATATCAAATAAAAGCTTGAATAATATATTCTTTCTTTTAAAAGCGTTTGAATGACTAGGATGGTAAATTAGCTGTAAAACTTCAATTGGACAAAAACGGAAAATTTCAGAACGATGTTTTATATATTCTCTGTTTAATCGGAGAATTTTCTATCTGAAAAAGGGGAATTTTTGCACCTTTAACAAGAGGGGAAAGGTACCGTTTACCGGTAGTAAAAACAGCCTTGATAAATCCCTGAATTCAAATCTAATTCTTCTCTGATAAGTAAGAAGAAGCAAGTTAGACATGTTAGATAACACAAAGAAATCACTGACTATACATAGACTCACCTTATTTCTAATGCTGACTAGTCCATTACACAGTCCCAGAGCTAAGCACTGTCCATCATTTGTCAAGCTATATAACTGACTATAAATAGACTCACCTTATTTCTAATGCTGACCAGTCCATTATACAGTCCCAGAGCCAGGTACTGTCCATCATTTGTCCAGCTACAACAGGTGATTCTGCTGTTGACTTTGTGTTTGGACACATTCTTCTGTTCAGGTGACCATAACCCTAAAAGACATTCATAAGTAAAGAACCAGTAAACAAGAAACGCATTCGCTTTAAATAGTAATACAATGTACAAATATTAGTTAACAATAAATATTAGTTAACAACAATTCTTTTTACATACAAAAACCATTAATGAAAATGAAATAGAGCAATAAAATCAATTTAAAACAAATTCCATGAACATGAAGAATATCAACAAACAAAATTTAACGGAAACATATACCTTTAGCCTTACTCTTTCTTGCCTCATATTCTACAATGGCTTCAGAAAAAATGGATATTTATGAAAGACACTAACTTTCTACTTTATGTTAAAGACCATGTGTCATCATGTAAGCTTGTGTGCTTGATTGTGCTAGCAGAGAAATTTGAAGAAATTGATATTTACCAAAGTCACTGACTGCACAGCTAGCTAATTGGTGGGTAACAGGGTTGTAAGCTAAACACTGTATAGCATCATTGTGTCTGTAAGAAATAAAACCATAATAATTACCTGATGTGTCATAACATTTTAAATTTCTACATTCAGGTCTCAACATCAACCAGTGTTTTCCTTTTATTTCAAAGTAAAGGGTTAGAGATCAGTTGTAAAAGTCTAGGGTATGAGGTTTATGAACAAAATCTCTGTGTACCTTACAACAAATTGTTATTTCAAAGCGGCATTTTTGTCCATTGAAGTGGTCAATTTGGCTGGTTGCCGGTTCTTAGGGAAAACACTGTCAACTCAAATATCCACTTGTTGTCCAAATTCATTGTTTACTTGTCCAACTCGGATAAGATATTAAGAAGTTTGTGGAACATTATTTTCAAGAATGAGGTTGTTCAAAATAATTTTTGGCATAAAAAGTTTTAATTAATGAAAGGAAAATGATCAAAAATATATTTTTCTTATTTGTTTGTTGTTAAACTTACGTATACTTTAAAATTCCTTCTAATTTACTCGTCCAAATGATGACACTTTTGTCCGCTGCCCCTGAGGCGAATCTCTTGCCATCCTTGGCATAACAAACGCAATATACAGTGTCTTTGTGGCCTTTCAATGGCTGAATTAGTGTACCATCGTTTGTGTCATAGACCAATACTCTGTTTCCCGCAGCAACAATAAGCTGACTTCCATCAGGTTTGAAACAAAGATCCCAGATACTGTAAAGAAGTTCACATGTTAACTGAATAAATACTGTAACAGTAAAAGTTCTTGAAAATAAGTACTGGGAACCACATCCAAATTCTCTCTTTTTAAATGAAAAACAACCGTTTCGTTGCTCGTTTCTGATATTTCTTTAATCAGTTAAAATTAGAGAAAATTCGAACAATCAAAAAAGGTTTCTAAGGTAAACAATATTTGAATTTATCTATAGACTATATTTCACACAGTTTTAGATTCTAAATATAATTTTACCATTGGTCAACTTTATCTCTGTCGTGTACTTTATCAACCCAGGTTGGTACCGCACGCATCGCTTTGGTTATCTCATGAAAAACTCTTAGCAAGAAAGTTTTTCTGCAACAATTCAGCTATGGAATTCAGCGCACTGCGCAAGTCAATTGAAACCGGAAGTAGAAATTTTCTATTTTAGAAAATGCTGTTGTGCACACCTGCCGTTTCCGCAGAGAACACAATGCATTACAGAAACAAACATTTCATATAATGTTAATTCAATGTCAAATATTTCATATTTGGTATAACTGGAAAAAGCATTGCACATTTAAACTGGTAATAAAACAAGAAGAAATGCTATAATTTTTAGGATTATTTTAAAAACAAATACCCCCTCCTTTTTCTCCAAAGACAAAGTCCAATATGTATTATGCCCTCAACTTTTTCTTTTTGCAAAATAGTTGAAAATTTTAATAAAATCCCTGTTTTTTATTCCTAAGGTATGTTGAGGTACCTGTTAATTGTCAGTTGTTCAGAGATCATTCCTATTTGCAAATGTATCAGAGACAAATCAATTAAAGGTCTTAAAAAAAATTATGATTCATGTTGCATTTTTTAATTTTGTCTCTAAATGGCATGATGGCAAAATAATAAATTCTAGTGGTATCTTAAATATCTTTGAAATTTTTTTCTTAAATTAAATTGTAAAGTCATAAAATGTGAATATATTGGATAATCTTTGTAAATTAATTTCTCTGACCTTGGATTAATAAGAACTTGTATCTCAACTAGTGCTAGTAGTGTTTCACTCTACTTTAAGAGTGGCTGGGGCCTTGTTCAACCTCCAGGTAACACATGTACAAGTCATTCTGCATAGGAATACTCCTGTATTTTGCCTCTGAATTAATCAATATTACTGTAAACCAACTTTTATTTGCGTGCGAGAAATTTTCGCGAAGTTCGCGACAGCCTCATCATCACGAATATTTCTCGCCGCGAACCGGTACTTAAAGTCTCTCTGTCTATTTACAACAGATCGAAAAAACATCTGATCGCGAAAATTAATCGTCGCCAACTAGTTTTACCCTGGTAAATTTCGAAATAAAGTCGTCGTTAATAAAAGTTGGTTTACAGTATGTGTTGTCCTTACATAACAGTATACAAGGATGCATATGGGGGTGATGGAGTGGGATAATCAACTCTTTCAACACTTCACAGATTGAAATAAAATGCATTTTTTTTTAAATTTGTATACATCGAAAACCAGATTTGGGCTGGATGCAAAAACATTTATTCAAATATACAAGTAATACTAAACTTTTAATTTTTAAATGAAAAAACATTTCTTAAATTAATACCTATAAATGAGCACCAGCTAGACAAAATAAACAATGCAAATAACAAAATAAAGACATCTGAATTATGATATATATAATCAATGCCAAATGTGTACATAAATATATAATCTGTAAAAAAAAAAATATATATATATATATATGCTGAATGCTGAAAGACAAGTGGATTTCACATTGTTTATCATACATGTATCATATATCACATATAGCATGTTTTTACAAATTACAAAAAATAATTGTGTGTATGAAAGACATATAAATCTATGGAAATATAACTCATAAAACTGAGTTTTTATAAATTACAAAAAATAATTGTATGTATGAAAGACATATAAATATACGGAAATATAACTCATAAAACTGAAAATATATATAAATAGGGTTACATTTTGAAAACTTCCCTCTTGAATTTATTAGTCCATATAATCTGTATTTAATTTACAAAGATTTCTGGAAAAGTTCACTCAATCTGAGTAGCACTGTTATTACCATTCCGAGTAGTACTGATTGTGAAGTGACTGAGATTGAGAACAAAGTACTCCCACAACTTCTGGCTGGTAGTACTACAGTACTGGTACTATCAAAGAAGATGTAGCCACCTGCAATTATAAATCATCAATGGTTTCATTTATCATTACTTTATTGATATATATACTATTATTCCATTGATCTCAATTACATGTAATTGAATTTTTGAACTTAGTATTTTATTGGCAAGTTTGGTCATAGGTCTTGTTACAGTTACTTTAGAATGAATCAGCTCCAAAAACCACTAACCTGGTCATTAATCTGAAACATACTAAATGCATTCCCCTAACTTTGTTGAGGGGAACTAAAAACTGTGAATTAATAATGATGTTAAATGTATGTAATAAAATATGTACAGCAAAACTCTCTTATAACAAAGTCACTGGGAATTATGAAATTACTTGGCAATATACGTGATTCATTATATACGTATAAGGAATTGTTAAATTTATGCATCTGGGGATCAACGACAACTTCGCTATATCAGTGAATTTGCAATATCAGTGTTCGCACTAAATGAGTTTTACTGTATATCATAAGTATATGTATTGTAAATATTTACCCAGAGTGAAGTAGGTGGGTGGGGAGCTCATGGTGCCGTCTCCTCCCCTGCTGTACCCCAGGACCCTTAGTTTGTACACCGAGTGTTTCTTGATCCCAGTCACTATGCCCTGTACTGTCCGACCAACATCAATGTCGTAAGCCTGTCGTACATCATCTGACATCTCCCAAACACGGATCTGAAATCCAGACATGAAAAGAAATAATATCTAACTGTGTTTAATTGGATCCAATTAATATATATTTTTAAAAAATTGAAACCAATCATATTAAAAATGTACCATATTTATTTTTGTGGTTGAAATGCAATAAGCTGAAGTCTTGGCAGAAATAAAACCCTACTAAAACTGTGATTTTAATTGATTAATGATATTATTATATCTTTAACCATTTACACTCAGTCTTCTATTAAATATGAATGTGAAAATGGAGAAGAGAAATTAATCAAAATTAATATCTCCACCCTAACTTCAAACTTAGGAAGGGGAGGGGAGATTAAAATTGTATCCCTGCCTTGTATCCTCTTAATGGTTCCTCCTCCACTTCAGTTGACACGCCCCTAAATGTGACCTTGACAGAGTCTGAACTGTACGAGTGGACGTAAACTTCTGTGGGGTACATATGGGGTGCTATGAAAGAAATATTACACGGATTTAATAAAGAAAGTTGAAAATAAGACCACAATATACACTAATATATGTATGAATTTTTGTTTTATTATCGAAATACCTATGTCTATAGTTACAGAAATCTGCTTTGCATGCATATATTTAACATAAATACATTTGAATTCTTTTATAACGTGTTTACAAGTTAACCCTTTCTATGGCCTGTAGTATTTACCTCTTCTAAATGTTCTCTGAGGGTAATTCTCACTTTTCTGTCCATCTCCAGCATCATTATACACCTGTACAGTAACGTAGTACCAGGTATCTGGCAGTAAGCCAATAATAAGAGCGTGGTCAGCCTGTCCACTAAAACTGGCCTGGATTGCCTGGTTCTCGTCCTCTCCGTATCGTCGCCAGTAATTCACCTGCTCAACAAATTAAATTCAAATTATATTTTTCTTCATAACTTAAGAGATTATAATTTTGATAATTCAGCAACTCCGAAAGACAGAAGGATTTAAATTGTACAACTCAATTAAGATACACAGACTACATCTTGATTTTCTAATTTTTCCCCCTCCAAAATATAAAATAATTTCAAAATATCCTAAACCTATATATTTCAATACCAACAGATATAAGGAGGTGAGTTTTTCTTTGTATGTTTTAGTCTTGATGTCTCAACTCCTCAAATTCTTTATGATTTTCATTGGTCCATTCACATTTGAGATAACAAGGTTTGACCATTTTCATTCAAATGTTATCCATGTACACTGCCTTGAGGAGCTTTCGAAGTTCTTATTGTACAGAAATTTAAAGTACTTATTCTACAAGACTTCTAAGTATGGTACTTATTGTAAGGAATCTAAGTTTATCCTGCCTTGTATCCCCTGAGCCTCCCTTTCATGCTCTCTCTGTTGTCAGGGACCTGGTCCCAGTGTACTGTCAGGGCTGTACTGTTATAGGCCTCCACCCACACCAAACCAGGCACCGCCACAGGAACTGAAAGATCAAAATAAAAATTTGCTTTAAGTTTAAACTGGCTCCATCAAGCTGGTAAATCTTAATTTCTTCTTCTTAACAAATATCAATTCTTTCACAAAGTTTGTATCCCTTAAGAGGGAAGGAGCCTTACTGTCATCAGCGGAGTGTATGTACTGTACTGGGGAGGGTCTCCCCACACCAAACATGTTATAGGCCGTCACTCTCACTTCATACTGAATGTAGTACTGATCTGTCCCAGCAATGGTTGTCACAAACTCACTCCTGTTATCTGGCAGGATTTTCTACAAAGAGACAGGTTCAACTTAAACTGATTGCACTGGACTGACACCCCTGCAGAATCAAAATAAAAATATGCATTTATTGACAGATCCATTGACGGATATACCCATTTCAACTGTTTCAATTTGGAGACACATACCCCTTGAAATAAGCAAAAATGAACTTAACTCTGAGCTTAAGCTTCAGCTTATGACTTTAGACAAAAAGTCAATAAACAGTCTGACAGAGAATGTGATTCCAGTGTATCCTCTTTCATTGCAGAGGTATAAATGTAAAAGTTTTTACTGCAAACAAACAGATGTATATCAATTAAGATGTTAAAAAACTTTTACAAAAATATCTGGTCATTGTGTTATTTGACTACCTTTTCCCAAGCGTTCTCTGTCCGAATGTCCTGTCTAGGAAGCCTCCATTCTACAATATAACCAATACCCCAACCATTCCGGTCCTCAGGGGGAAGGGGCTACAATGTAAAATCAAAGAATGAGGGACATTAAAACATTTCTCCTGAAGCATATGGTTTTTTTTTTTAATTCTTTCACAGTTTTGGGATTTCACAATTAAAAGATGAAGTCACAGATTTAAGAAAATTTTATGTATGCAATTTAGGTCAAGGATTATAATTGAAACCTTAAGCAAGAAACAGATTTTACATACTTCCCATATTATATGTAAAGTGCCAACTTTTCCTTTTCCTCTTCTGATGTTTGCTGGAGCTTTAAATGGTGCAGAACCAGGAATAGGGTACTCATCTAAAAGAAAGACAATCAGTTTAGTTCGAGTTCAAAGGCCCTTCAAATTTCTTTGATGTTATGTTTACAACTAAGCCACCTCTTGCATAATGCTTGACAATAAAATAATTTGATTTCACTACAAAATCTTTTGATTCCATATTGAAAATAACTTGACCATTGGTAAGTTTTGACCACTCACCTGAGGTGGTACTGGCTGATCCCTCTCCAAACTGATTGATGGCTGAGACTCTGAAGCGATAGGAGGATCCAGGATTTAAGTGTTTTATGCTGACCGACCTTAATTCATCTTTTACCACCACTGAACTGATAGGTGCATCTGTACTTAATGATTACAAAGTAGCAAAAATTTTTAAGAGTCTGACAAAGAAATAGAACTGTTAACTCTAATTTATAAGTCTAATTTTTTAGGAATTTGAAAATGAACATTATAATAAGCAGGTGTAATTCTACATTTAGGCCTAGTTGCCTGGTTGTTACACTGCAATCATGAACACACTGAAGCAACTTAAAAAATTTATGAATGTCATTTGAATAAATCACATCTAACTTAAAACTGTAGATATGCATGTACAAGATTTATAAGAGTAGAATAATCTTTCACTCACTCATAATGATGTTCCATTTACTGTTGGAATGATTGGACTTGGCTGAGATCACGTAAGCTTGTATAGGTCTCCCATTGGTGGCCCCATCTTGCCATGCCAACTGTAGTCCATAAGGATCAACAGAGTTATGTCCCTTGATAACATGGACTCCCACAGGCTCACCAGGGGGTCCTATTTAAAAAAAATTAAAATATTTTACCATACATGTACATGTATTTAATAAAAATTAGCATTGCAATCCTTTTTACAATACCCCTTTTCCAACAATTACCGATACTTATAACATTAAAAGTTTATGGATTACCAAGAACATGAGATTATAAGAACATTTAGAGTTAACAATTACCTGCAACATTAAATGTATAGTAATTACCTGCACAATTACTTGCAGCATGAACTTAAGGATATAACAATTACTTACAATGTGAAAGGTAATTACCCAGAACAGTAAGAGTAGCTGATGAGGTGTCAGAGTCCAGCTGTGTAGTGGCCGTACATTTGTACACACCAGCGTGACTTAACTGTGCCCCCACAACGTACAGATCTCCTGTGTAAGGACTTCTCTGTAAGAAAAATATCACAAGTATATCCATATCCTATAACAGATGGCAATTTCTTCCCTGTTAATAATGATGTCATAAATCTATCAGAATTCATTTTCACTACTGTTTAAACAGATGGTACATGTAATTCACTTCCAATACCAATATGTTTCTCAACCACCTATTCATTTATCAATACCATAAATAGGAGTTTACTCAAATAAACCAATGTCAGTTTTGATTTAATATACCATGTTATAGTGTGTATCCTGGTGGAAGTCAATCTTCCGGTCATTGAATGACCAGACGTACACGAGGTCCAGACTAGCGCTGTAGGAGGCCCGACAGAGAAGTACGGCCGTACTATTGACCACTACAGTGGTGTCTACCGGCCGCCCCACAATCAATGTCCTGTCTGTAATATATAACAAGGTGGCTTCATTTCATGCATCACATGTTAATTCTTTACCTAAATATAATGTACAGGGATATATTAATGCCCTGTTCACACGGAGAGTTTAATTCGAATAAAATGTAAAGCTACTGCGAATTAGCTTCGCTTAGCGTTCACATGGAGAATTTAATGCGAATTAGTTTAATTCGAATTAATTTACTGCGCATTAAATTACTTCGCATTAGCTCCGTGTGAACGCTAAGTGAAGCTAATTCGAATTAAATTTTGACGCATGTGTAAGGCCAGAATTAAGTCACAGGACACGTGTTGGTAGCTATATATAGGTATTTGTGCTATATTTGGTTGAAATATTGAGGGAAAGTATGTTAATCTCTAAAATCAATGAATACCTGTAGCCACTACATGATGTATCAAAGGATGGCTCTGTATACATGACGTGATTTACAAATGACGTCATAATAGACTTACTGACGCCTGACTGTAGAAGAAAAAATTTAATTCGCATTAGTTTACTTCGCATTAGCTGTCGTGTGAACGCAATTTAATTCGCATTAATTTGATTTGCATTAATTAACTTCGCATTAAATTACTGCGAATTAAACTCGTCGTGTGAACAGGGCATCAAAATATTGCCAATATCCTTTGCTACAGGCACATCTTTTTATTTGCTTGCATATTTTTAAAAAAAATCCACCATCCCCCAGAATAAATCTAAATCAGACTTTGATATTAATGTTCTGGATGGATCAAAAGAGGGGGCATCTAACTAGATATGGTGTCTTCAACTCCATTACTGAGATTTCTCCTTAGTTTAATAAAATTTTCAACAAACACCTGAATATGTCACCATAGGGAAAATCTTTTTAAAAATACAAAAGAAAAAAACTTACCCAACACTTTCAGCTGAGTAAAGCTCTGTGCAGACCCATGAATATTAACGGCTTTACAAGTGTAGCCTCCCTGGTCTGTGTAACTCACATTGACAATCCGTAGATGACCACTGGTCAGTGGCTCAAGGTGAGAGGGGGTCCCTTCCTGTGGGAGAGGAATGACCTCTCCGTTGTACAGCCAGGTGATGTTAGGGCGGGGGGCAGCTTCTGGGTGACACAGAATAGTCACGGATCCTCCCAATGATCCAAGGGTGGTGGATTGTAAGGGGTGTTTTTTGAATGTTGGTGGAATAGCTGTGTAAAATACAGACATTAACTATCTAGTATTGAATGTAAGGCAATTTCAGATAATCTTAGAAATCATTATTGCAAGGAGAGTCTTTTAAAAAGAAAATTTGTTATTATTTTTACATTCAATTAAGAAATCAAATTAAGGCACATTGTAACATTATGAACTTGAGCATTCATTCCAAAAGATTTTGACAAACTTATAAATTACCAAGTCAGCAGACTTTCCTAGAATTATTTAAGTACATGAGTAAATGATGATTTTAGTTTTATTATAAAATGTTTCACTTGCTAATACCGGTATTTCATCCTCCAAAGTCCAAACCATTAATTTTGATAAAATATGTCCTCAGTAACAAAAATTAATAGTTAAGGATGACCAATCAAGAATAAAGTTTTCAAAAATAATTGTTGTTTTAAGTTTATTGTGCACTGTAGCTCTGCTCATTCTTAGGTAAAACTTCAAATCCCCCCACCCCACCCCCACCCTCCTCAACTTAATTCATTAAATACCTTCCCCAAGGAACTGTGCAAATTTAACTCTTTATGTGCCCGACTCAATACATGTAGTTCGGGGCAAATATTGTTTTTGTCTTTTGTTTGTCTGTTTATCTGTTTGTCTGTCTGTCTGTTGTCACCTTTGACCTATGCCATAACTTTTGAACCATGCATATTTGGTATGCATACTCCAATAAATTAAGCTCTTTTGAATGGCACCAAGGTCAATGACCTTGTGACCTTGACTGTGACCTGTATGCTAAAAATAGCTTTTTAAAACTTTCAACATAAGTGGCGTCGATAGTCTATTGGTTAAGGTGCTGGACTCCAAACCGAAAGGTTGTGAGTTCGAATCCTGGCCACGGCAAGTCGACGTTGTGTCCTTGGGAAAGACACTTTACACAAATTTCCCCACTCCACCCAAGTGTAAAAGGGGTACCTGGCTATAGACAGTGAAAGATATTGTCAGAATGTTAGTGTTCTAGTGCCTTAACGGCAGCTTGCACTGAGAAAGATGATGGATTTTTATGGTCTGCTGGGGTTTATGGTCTGCTGGGGTAATAATTGTAAAGCGCTTTGAGTAGCATTTATGCTAGAAAAGCGCTAAATATAAAAACAATCATTATTATTATTATTATAACTTTTGAACCATAAGATATAGAGACTTCATATTTGGAACGCATACTCCACTAAATAAGTTCTTCAAAATGGCACCAAGGTCAGTGACCTTTTCTGTGACCTATATGCTAAAAATAGCCTTTTTAAACCTTTGCCATAACTTTTGAACCACAGGAAATAGAGACTTCATATTTGGCATGCATACTCCACTTATTACGTTCTTTCAAATGACACCAAGGTCAATGACCTTGTGAGCTCTACTGTGACCTAAATGCTAAAAATAGTTTTTTTTCCCGAATTTTGTTGCCGCCAGGCACATAGTGTTTCACAAACACATCTTGTTATGAAAGAAAATAGTTTCTCTATCTTTGTATATATAACACAACCCCCTCCCCCAGCTCATATTTAAATTATAATTTTAAAAATTGCATAATTGATTGTTGTTTTTTTTTTAAATCCAGGCTTATATCTGTTTCAATAAACAAATGCCATATAGAGAATGCCCCTATAATCCTTTTTTTATAAGTCAGAAAATCAATGGGCTTAGTGCATGCAAACAGTGATAAGGCTACCCTGCTGTTTAAATGCGCAGCAGTAAAATTCTGTAAACACAATAAGATAACCTCTCAATTTCCCTGTCGAAGCAAAAGAAAACTCTTACTGTGATCAAATAGCATGACATCTATGGAGGTCTAGCATTTTACACCTGAATAACAATACAGGTAATGTAAATAAATGTGTCATATCTACCTTTTGTCTTTACTTTGGATGTAACAGTTCGGTTTGTTTATTTATGGTAATTTGTCCAAGAGAAACTATGCCTAATGAAAACTTACCTGGTTTCTCCTGAATATTAATGATTGAATTACATAGGTGATTTTAAAGAAAAATACCTGGGGCAATCTATATTTCACAAGGCAATTCATATTCATTCTCATTTAATATTACGTTATAAACAATTCAAGGTTTTATTATGTTATGATTCATTCATATAGTACATACGCGAAGCAGTGATTCAGCAGAATAAATTAATTCAAATCTCTAATTTTAGATTCTCCTTGCAAACAAAAATGGAACATTCAATAGCACAGGAGGTGATCACTTGTGATATCTGTTTAAAAGCCACACCCCAGAAATTCTGTAATAACTGTCAAGTCAACCTGTGTAAGGCCTGTGTCAATGAACATTTAGATGGAAGGAAGTGCCAGACGCACGAAATAGTGCCGTTCCAATACAGAAATGAGCTGATGTTCCCCCACTGCTCTGTGCACCCTAACCAGATCTGTGAGGCCCAGTGTCAGTTTTGTGAAATCCCTGTCTGTATGAAATGTGTGATCAAGTCCCACAGTCACCATCAACTGATGGAGATCGTTCAACTTGTCTGCTTAAAACGAGACGAAATTAAATCTGACATGGAGGAGCTAAGGAAAGTAGTGATACCTCACTGTAAGCAGGAGAATGAAAAAATTGTTTCCAAAATCTCAAAGGCACCAGTTAAATATGAACAGATACACCGAGAGGCAGAAATTCAGAGGAGAATATGGCACCAGGAGGTAGATGGCTTCTTCAATAAAGTCAAAAGTAAGATTCACAGTGATAAAGATAAATATATTGCGACTCTAAAATGGCAGCAGACGAAACTAAAACAGCTGCACCAAGAGCTGTGCCACAGTGTTCAGGTGAATAGGGATCTCCTGATGTCCAAACAGGCCTCTGTTGTTACCAAGTACCAGTCTAAACTCCAGGACTACATCAAACGAACTTCCATCACGGATACAGTAGTTACTACCATTCAAACAAGCCTGAAAAAAGGGGAAGAACTCTGTTTCGAAATAGACCAAATAAAGGCATCATTTACACAGACTGATGGGAAAGTTAATGACAAAGTTGAAGCTGTTGCTTGTATTCCAGATCAAGAAGATTTCAAAAAATGTACACTTAACCCCCATATCCCAATAGCACTGGAAATCGATTCTACCCTGTCAACAACAGTTGTATCTACTGACTCTTCATTGGCATCTCAAGATTTGCCAGACAGTGTTGAATTTAAATCACAAGCAGATATTTTATCCTTGAGACCAGTTCCTCATGTACTTAATAAAGCCCACAATGTGTCCAAAATACGCGCAAGAAAGAATATTTTCTCGAAATCATTGCCTAACAAAATGCATCTACACAGGACTATTGTAATATCCAATTCAACAAAAGTAACCACAAGTTCTTCTTTGTCAGCAGTGGAGCTGCTCCACAAATCTAAAGTGATATCCGCGACTCAAACCGGAGTTAACAATCTGAATGCTGTGGCGTGCTTAGGAACATATGAAGCCTGGATATGTGGAGAAAGCAAGAATATCTGCCGCATTGATATACAAGGCTTCCCTAAAGAAACTGTGATTACTACATGTAAGTATTTTCCTGGAGACATTGCTGTGACTCAGAACGGAGAACTTCTTTACACCGATATCAATGAAAGAGCTGTTAATATCATTCGGAATGGAATAAGTGAAACTTTGCTTCCCATCCTCAAGGGATGGCATCCATACACACTTTGTATCACCAGGTCGGGTGACATGCTTGTCGGGATGTTCACAGCGGATAACAGACATCACAAAATTGTACGCTATCATCTTCTAGAGGAAAAACAGGAGATCGAAAAAGACTTCAACTACGAAAACTACCTCTTCAAAGAAGGAGAGCGTCCCATCTACATTACAGAAAACATCAACAGGGATATTTGTGCTGCCGATCTCAATGCAAAAATGATGCTGGTTGTTGACAATAAAGGGAAAGAAAGGTTCCGCTACAATGGCACACAGGCAAGGCTGACCAAACCATTTGTTCCTGGTCAGGTGGTGACGGATTCCGCTGGACGTATCATCGTGACTGACCAGATGAATGACTGTCTTCATGTCCTGGATCAGAACGGCCAGTTTCTGAGATGTATTGATGATTGTCAGCTAGAGCAGCCAACGGGGCTGAGTATTGATAGAGAAGGCAGGCTCTGGGTGGGGTCATATAAAACAGGAGAGGTCAAGGTCATTGAATACATAAAACCCAGCCAAGGTCATTCACCTCCCAGGAGATGTTTGTCTGCTTTACATCCATCAATAGTCCAGACACCTGTGTGATTTCTAATACAGGTGTAAATGATCTAACCTCTAAAATGTTGAAGTTTCTGTTTTTATGTATAGGCTTTGTTACTGTCTGTGAAATTAATCTACATTGATGCTGCAATTCATGGCTTTATACTACAATCATAATATTGTGTTATTTCAAAAAATAATAATTTAGGAGATATATGTGTAAATCAATTGTAAAATTATCTTGTTTTTCTTTCAACAGCAACGAGCTCACAAAGCAATATCCCAACTCTTAAATGAGTATGTCAATGGTTACTGAAAGGAAAAAGAAACACCGCATGACCGAAAATTACTTAAATGAGTATGTCAATGGTATAAAGAACTACATAAAACCTTCAACTGGATTATCTCCCTTTATGCAAGGATAGAGAAAAGGATTTAAAATGTATACCATACAAACTGAATTTTTCGCAAGATACAATTAAGTTATTTGTTCTTTTATCAGTACATGTATGTATTAATTTTTAATGAAAAGTAATTTAAGCAATTTTCGAAGCATGAAAGATAATAACCGTCCAATGCAAAATAAATTTTGAGCTATATTTAAATTTAGCAATCTCTTTTTAATCTCGTTAAAAATGCCAAAACTGAATCTTCACTAAAATTTCTGCTTAGTATGTGTGAGATGGAGAGAAGAGGGGAGGGCACTTACAGAGAACCCTGAGCTGGCCACTACTTGTGGACACTCCGTGGGTGTTACTGGCCATACACTGATACATCCCCTCCTGGTCCCCCTTCAGACTATGGATGACCAGGACGTTCCCCGTGATGGTCATTTCCATGGTACTGGACAACAGCTGACCGTTCCTGTACCAGGTGTACGTGGGCCGTGGAATCCCGTAAGCCTGACACCTCCAGGTCAGCTCTGCCCCCTTGTCAGCGTGCTGGTCACTCAGTCCTACGGAAAACAGGGGCTTTGCTACAAAGAAAATTTTAGAAATTTATATCCCATAAAGCCTACAAAAGGGGAAGAATTATATTTAACCAATAAGAATGATTAGAATCTTTGACCAAATATAAAATCTTTTTCAAATGATGATCTTGAATGACTCTTGCTATTAGAGTTGTGGAGAGACAGACAAAATGGACTTAATATTATATCCTCAGTCATCATATCCAAAATAGTTTGGTACTAACAGGTTTAACCACCTGCTCAAGCATTTGTTTTAAAATTGAAAAGTCAATTTTCTACAATTCAGTAAAACTTGTCTAATCTTAAAGTTATGCATCCCAAAAGCTATTATGCTCTTTGTCAAGACTCAAGAGCATAAATATTTTTTTTTCAATCATCAATACCCACACTCTATGTAGAGTTGGAAATCCTTTTGGTCCCTGGTGCCTGACCGCCTGCTGCTACAGATACAGGAGTAGACCCCCGTGTCCTGAAGAGTGACCTCCGCAATGGTCAGTACTCGGTTACTGTCCAGGTACTTGAATCTGGTCCGCTGGTCTCTCACAGAGGGGACGGTCCACTGATACACTAAAGGGCCACTAACAAATAAATTTACAATATTTTCAATTAACTGTCATAAGACATTAAATGTAATTTGAATTATTGCAACAGGCACTGCATACTTCATACTCTTGTGTTTTTGATGTCATTACATGTATTGAATTTTTATTTTTGAATTTGCAGATGTCCTTTTTCCAATACCTGTCATTGGCCCATGATTTGGGCATTGATCACATGACCTTTATAACAACATTTTTTTTTATATTTGATGAAACTAAAAAAGTTTACAACTCTTCTAACCACCATGCCTCCATCGGTTCAAGAAGCAATATGTTATAAACGTCAACTGCCCTCAAACAATTATTGAACATTTCAATGTAAATATTCAGGATTTCAGTCACAAAATATTATTTATCAAAGGTATGAAATTAAACATAAACCTTCCATATGCAAAACATTCCAACTTGACATCACTTCCTACTACTGGTTGCCTTGGAAACACTTGCACAAAACTGTCTGGGATCTGAACACTCAATATTCCCGAAGCTGCAAATTAAAGACTGTGTATTATCTAGCTAAACTTTTCAAATTATTTCAACCTTGCCTTGAAAAAGGTATGATCTCAACATGAGAGTCTCTTTTTAAAACACCTAGGGTCGGTTTAACAAAATAATTTACAAGTTACGACTAGAGACCAAAATTTAATTCTGCTTATAACTTTCTTATTTATATTATATACCTGTATAGAAAATGGTTTTAATCTTTCTAAAAGATATGTAAAAAGATACTTTAATGCTAGCAATTTTAAATAAAATTTTTGAAAAATGTTACAGTAAACTAAAGTTTTTGGTCTTAGGCGTAAGTTCTTCAGTCTGTAAAATGGGCCCCTGAGGTATTTCAGTGTTGTTGACTTACGAGAGCCTAGGACTTCTAACGGAATCCCCGTACTGATACGACTGGGAGACTGGAAGGACCCCATGTAGTTATCTCTGTTGGTGGGATTTGTCAGGGTAGCCATGCAGTAGTACACCCCATTATCTCCCCGTGTCACCTCCGAGAAATAAAGCTGTCCGTCCCCTGAGATAAACACGTAGGGAGTCAACTGAGAATTTACTGGCTTTGTCTGGTCCTTTATCCAGTTATAACTTATAGCTGTAGATAAGAAAAAATATGTTATTTTTAAAGCAATATTTTTCAAAATGGATAACATGCAAGATATAGAGCCAGGATGAATAGACTAATCTTGTAACTTTTTTCAGCTCTTGAGTTTCACCCTTTATTAAGCAGTGAAACTTACGTAGACTGGAAGTGGAGGATATCTTTGGACACTGTATGGATGTTCCCTGGTATTCAGAAGGACGAACAGGGGCCGTATCAACATTGGAAAATTCTCCTAAATCTAAAACAAGAGATGTTTGTAAAACACTTATGCCCCCTCCCCTAAATTATTGGAATTTTTCTAAGTCAAAGGGGCATAACCCTGTCCAAAATAGTCCGATCGTATCCAAATCAAAACTTGACCTAGATATTCTTATGATAAATCTGTATACCAAATTTCATTGCAATATGTGCAATCTCTGCGAATAAAATGAACAGAAACTGCAAATTATTGGATTTTTTCTAAGTCCAAGGGGCATAACTCTGTCCAAAATTGTCTTATTGTACCCAAGACAGAACTCGATCAAGATATTCTTAGAATAAATCTGTATACCAAATTTCATTTCAATGTGTGCAACCTCTACAGAAAAAGTGAACGGAAACTGGTGGTGGACCGAGAGAAAGACCGACCGACTGACAGACAGCAGTAAAGCAATATGCCCTCCCTTCTTTGAAGGGGAGCATAATTAATCAGTGTTCTGCATGATTCAGTAACAATCTGGCAAGTAAACAAAGCATTTAAGGAAGGAGATGCAGTTAAACAATTCTAATTTTAATAAAAATGATTATGCATTATTCAAACTTACAGTTTTAAGGATGCAAATGTTATAAATATGGAAAGAATGGTCATCTGCCAAATCAAACAATGCTTAAAATATAACCTTCCTCAAGCAAAATTATCACAAGAAATAAAGATATCAGTGACATAAAGGTTACAAACCTGCAAAAGCCAGCACTACAGGTGGGGTAAGAATAACTCCAAACTTATTCTGAGCCATACATTGATACTTTCCTCCGTCCACTGTCACCTGTGGGTTGTCGATGCTGACCCGGCCATTGGTCACTGTGTACCGTGGGCCCACCAAGGACTGGGCCTGCCCACTGTCCCGCATAACAGTCCACCGATACATGGGCTGTGGGAGCCCAGTAGCAGCACATTCTAGGTAGACTTCTGAGGTGGATCCTAGAATTTCAGTGTCTGAGGGGAGTAAATAGAACGTTGGACCCTTGGGTGCCGACTCCTCATCTGGAAAGTCTGTTCCATATGCTGTTATATAAAAAAAAAGGTATAAATTTTTGTAAAAAGCCTGTACTTTTAAAACATTTTTTGTATCCCTCTCCTTCTTCCCAAAGGGTGAAGAAGAGGTTAGGGTTAAAGAATGAAGGAAAAATGATCATCAATGCTAAACATATTTAGGTCACACTAACTGAAGTCTCTTGAATCTTGTAGTATTCTGTAGACTTCATTCTTTGGAATTTCACAAATGTAGCTCATCAAGTTACTGCCATCTCCCTTACTCCAGCTGTACTGTCCGTCTGTAAATAATTTCATACATTAAAATTCATCGCAAGTAAAACATAGTATTAATTTTTTAACTCTGATGATTTGTGAAGTAATTCTGCACAATTTTACATCTTAACACAGGTACATAATGCATATTTTATGTCTACTGTGAAAATCATTTATTTTTGTGAAGCTAAATTTTCATGGTTGACAGAACAAGTACCCATTCAACAGGATTGAATTTTGTGTTTGGCAGAAAAACTTGACACTTTATTTGTAATTTTTAAAACTTTGTCAACTACATAAATTTCTGGGTCACAACTTACCACAAATACAACGAAAATTTAAATTCCTCCCCCTTTGGAAATTTTTTGTGAATACACAGAAAATAAATGTTGAACTATTGAGTTTAGGCACCCGACATGCATAGAATAAAAAAATTCACATATCAGAAAACAACTTGTATACCAGAATATTTGTAGATGATATGCAATCCATGGTTATTGTGATCCGAGTATGTAGTCCATTGTATATTTCCACTCAACTGGATGTCTAAATTGTCCAAGTTCAGGAAATTATCTTGCTCAAGGGAAGCAACTCCACTGGTGTACCAACTGTTTCTGAAAGTGCAGTTTTTAAAATGGACACATCTTATTATCACAATCCCTGTAGCATTAATAACCATTTACTATGAAGTCAAATTCTTGAATTCAATCAATATTTAATTCACGTTAGGATGACAGTTTATACACTGACCTCCATTATGTTCAGTAAATAATTCATAAGAACATATTTGACGAGGGTGTACCATTCCCATTTACACCAGTGCAGTACTATACTTGCCTCTCCATGTCAAAGTTAAGTAACCAGCCATGAACAAACATGTGTTCAGCAAAACTTTCCACACCCAAAACTTCAGCTCCATTTTCCTACATCAGAAAATCAATGTGAAAATTATGAATAAATCTACAAATTATAATTAAGATTTATGTGTCTGAATTCATTATCAGTGAACATATTTAATTGTTGCAAAATAGGATGGCAATGGCATACGACTTTGCTATAGCTAGCACCATATTCTATAGAAATTAGAATTTATTCTTTAGGCCATATAAAATTAATCTTTAGATTCTCATCCCCGCCCGCCCCTCTCAAAATGTCCCGCCCCGATGTTTTTTATTTTGAATTTTGGGTATTTTCATGTATTTTTATTCAGTAAGAATTTGGGTCAAAGTTTAATTTATCTCCCGTCTATATTAAAAGTCGCGTGTCGCTATTTATAGCAAAAACGCCGTGTGAAGAATGGAGAAAAATCGGCAATAAAAGCAGTTTAAATGTGTAAGGAAAAGATAATTTGTCAGTATAGAGAAGGCAGAGAAGAAAAAATAGCATAAACACATATAGATACCATCACTGGCAGGAGCAACTATGTAGAGAGATTGCAACTAAGTAAAAATAGACGAGGAAAATGACACCTGGTCAAGTTACATATAACGATCTCCAGCTGTGTGACTTAGCTTTGAAATAAAAAAAGAATTTACAACATCGTAGACAGACATAAGAGAAGGCCTAGATTTTTCAGTAGAATAATTATTAGAACATTTTTATAGATTTTGCAAAATAAGTCACGCATACACAATTTATTGGTATCCCCACCTCATTTTGTTCAGGGTGTGCCGTATAATGTGTACTTGATAATTTGTTAATTAACAATAAATAATTAACTTTTAAAGCAAAAAGTTTCTTTAAATATTTAAAAGAATATGAAAAGAATTAAATCTTTTCATATTTGCATTAAGATAATGAAAAAAATGTGTACGGGGCGTCCATTGTTTTGTTGATACTTAGGCCTATATATAAATTAACAATTATAAAAAATAAAAAATAAAATCCGCCCACCCGCCCCAATTTTTTTGCAAATTAGGATGAGAATCTAAAGATTAATTTTACCTGGCCTTATGTAAAATTACTGAATTTCTCATTTTCTCATGAAACTAGAACTACCCCGGGGTATATTTTCTTGAATTTCTCCAAAGTACATTGTACTTGCATCAAGAAGTTTCTTTTGGAAGTCAATTACATTATATCAATATATAGATGGAATTTCACCTATGGCTGATAACTTCTTACTCTGAAATATGCAAACACACCATTCAAGTGAGCTTGATAAAATACACGTAGCTTAATCAAGCTATTATGAATAGCTTTATAAAGCTTTATAGCTAAATCAAGCTATATAGCTTAATCAAGAGATTGTGCTGGACCTGCATATAGTATAGAATTTGATCATAAACTATCAAATACATGTATGCTGATATGACGCAGACATTTCAATTAAAAATACCTTGCAGAATTCTTGAGCTCCTAGATATGAGCGCTTTGGATGAAACACAAACTTGTAGCAATGATCAGCATACTCAATCCACTCAGATGGACAATCTAGGAAACAATCAGTTAAGATTTATCATTTATTTCAACTTTACAGTGAAAAAAAATCATTGTGCATTCACTATTCTTAATTTGATTACGCAGTAAATTTCTATCCAATATCATGAATATGGAACACAGGGACTTGAAACAATCTTAGAAAAAAAATCGGGTATATAGCTCCCCTATTATACTATATACCCGTTTTTTTCTAAGATTGTCTCAAGTCCCTGTGATATGGAATGTATCATAATCCAAAAAGATTATTGTCAGTTGGGAATTTTCCTTCGTGCTCACTCCATCCGTTATAAGATTTGTAATAACTTGATATAATAGGGTAAAAAGGTAATTAGGTAAAAAGTAATTAAAAAGGAACAAACAAACCAAAAATGGGCAAAGGATTCACACTGCAAATGTTTAAAACTATGCAAAACAGGAATCCCGTTATCTTCAGTGGCATTTTAACTGTAAACAAAGAATTGAAGTTTTGGCGCGGTCTACAGCGCCACCTATTGGGAATTTGAAATCCTAACCCGATCAGAATATTGATCGAATCTCTTATTGCGGCTAATGTGAAAATGAAATAATTCATTTGTAGTAAAAAACAAATGAACAAAATCATATTTTCACATTTTTAAAATAATATCTATTTGTATTATAAACAAATAAACAAAAAAGAAATAAAAATAGGAATAAATTGAACAAATTACATGTAATGAAGTCAACCCGAGGACGGTAACAGGACATGTATAATGTTATTTATGTCTCCTAAATAACACCCATCCCCTGATGTCATCTCGATTTAAATTGACCAGCCCGATATGTGATTTATCTTAAATTAAAACATATTTTAATGATTTTATCAAAAGAAATAGAAACATTTTTTTATCGATAAATATAATATCCGAACAATAAAAAATCCGAGTTTCAATTTCTTGCACACTAACCACTACGTTATATGTACACAACATCCGAGGAATCATGTAAAATTTTTACAAAAAGCATTAGCATAAGTTTTAGGAATGTGACTTTTTTTAATTATATAAAATTATGATACTTTCAAGTATATATGATATAGTAATGTATGCATATATATTATATGATGTATATAGATACCTAAAACGAATGCTTATGTTCATATAAAATATTTCGGGTATTCCCCTACTTGTATGTCTTACCTACCAATCAAGCAACCCTTTCCCTCTTGTGTGTATGTATATTGTATTTCAGGTGTATGATTATAACCGTTATATACATTTTAACAATGTACTTTCTTTTTGCCACACGAGGGCCCTTAATATTGTGACCTTTGCTAAGTGGACTTCAGTATTTCTCCGAAAGATACGAATGTTGCATTGTGTCATAAAAGTGTAATTTTCAGGTATAGTGCATGGGCCTTTGCTCCACGCTTTTGTTAACGGGAAAGGTATGTTTTCACGCAAACTTTGAAGGTGAACTTTAAAGAATGAAAGGATCAAAACCCACTATATATATGGATTTCGGTCGCTTTGATCGCCCATCTTCTTTACAATTCATTTGAATTAAAGATTAACATATCTCTCTCTCTCTCTCTCTCTCTCTCGTAAATTATATCTAATAATTTTTATGCCTCTAGAAATTTTACAGGAAAGTTTTGTTATAAAAAAATTTACCTTTTCAACAATAAAAACGAAAAATCTTCAGTCTAAACTATAAATCATACAGTGTATACTTTTTGCGCGACTTGTTAGCCTATCTTCGTATATGAACTCTGAGATAGTCTTACAGTCAGCTCTCTATAGACTGGTAATATGGAGAAAGTCTATCCAACAAATGCATGACATCGTTTAATTAAGTCTTTCCACCTTTCTGTGGAAAGACTTATTGCTTTTCTTCTGTAAATTCCTATTATATAATTTTTCTTCCGCTGATTTTTTGTTTCGACATTTATCGAAGGGACTTTTTGTTCATCGTAAAGGTCATAAAAAGTTAGGAACAGATTTGACCCAACGCATATGAACTATGACCCCTTTCGAAGTTATTGCCCCTTTCGCAAGAAATGCTCGTTATCGCTACTCCTCCGAAACCGTAAACCATAGAGGTACGCGTGCTTCACCAATGTCTTCGACTAATTTAGTCGGTTCTCCAAACTGGGAAGTGTGAAAGAATTCCTAAACTCCTTCGAGTAGTTATTGCCCCTGAAAGTTTCAAAGCTTAAAATTTTTTTTAAAAACTTTTAAACGACAAGTGGTAAAGATTTGGGACCAACTGCATGAGATCTTATGACCTTTGACCTTGAAAAGTAGGTCAAGGTCAAAGGTCAAGGTCATTCAAATTATGAAAAAAATTAAGTTTTTTTCTGTAGCTCCTTTGTTCTTCAACAAATTTTAAACATCTTTGCATCTTTAATATGTACTCTTAAAACCATTTCAGGGATTTCATGCTTGTCCCCTAAGATTGACCCCTCTAAAAGTTAATGCCCCTTTTAGTGTAAACCCTTGTTATCGCTACTCCTCCGAAACCGTAAACCGCAGATGTTCGAAACCTTCAACAATGTCTACGACTAATTTAGTAGACTCTTGAATCTATTCATTGCGAAAGGATTCGTCAACCATTTTTAGTAGTTATTGCTCCTTACAGTTTCTGATGTTTGCGAAGAACTAAAAACTTTTTAACGACAGGTTGTAAAGACATGGGGACAATGCATGAGATCTTTCTACCTTTGACCTTGAAGAGAAGGTCAAGGTCAAAGGTCAAGGTCATTGGAAAAGTATTAAAATTCTTATATATGGGTTTTGGTTAAAATGACATTGACCTTTGACCTTGACATTTGACCTTTGACCTTGACCCTCGCTCAAAAGTAATAAAGAAATATTCATTACCTTTACCTAGATTCAGCTTCAAGTGTTAATCTCATGTATATCAGTGTTGTGTGTGTGGTTTTTTTTTTTTCTTTTTTGGATAACCTTGACCTTGATAAATGACCTTGACCTTTGACCCAAACGTCACATTCAAGCTTCAGTATGTGGAGGTATTTGTAACTCTCACGTTTACAAACGCTTATTTAATATACTCTCTGAAACAAAAAAAAAAATCAATAGCGACATAGAAAATTTTTGTACAACCCAAAGGACATCACAGATCAAATTAAAATCCAGTTTAGCATGTAGAAGACACCTCAAAGAAAGTGCCCTGAGAGTTTTACGGTGAGTCTCTTAAGTACGATTAAATTCTAGTGAATATCGGCAAAATCTACATTTTTTTTCTGTCTGAAATTTAATTGTTGCTGAGTATAAAAATTAATTTAAGCTTGTATTGGCTATTTCTTCGATTGTTCTTAATGTCATCCGATTCTCCTGCTCTAATACGACATTTTAATACCAAATATTCTTGCTTTCTTTAGTATGTGGAATTTATTTCAATTTTATTTAGATTTAATATCAATTTGAATGAATCTCGAAAATAGCGATTTTTCCTGTCAAATAAATTTCCACGTTCTCAATGACACCGTTTTCTTCCTGGGATGCATGTTTCAAGTTTAATTTATGCTGGTAACTATTAATTAAATTCAAATAGAAATGATTATTTAATCTGACTTATGAGTTCAACAAATCTGTCAAAACGCACGTGGCCTTTTTCAAATAAATAAATTGCTACGCAACCTCAAATGCATGTTTTCCCGTTAATAGCAATATCATAATTGTAATCAGACAATATCCCTTACATTTTAACTTGAAAACAATCTCATTCAAACTCACATATATACCCAGTAGCTTGCAAGAAGTTTATTAACTGGTACTACTTGACTGGACAATGAATCAAGGAAATCCCGGTAACTTTAACTCGACAATAATACCAGTGATTTTCAACGGAACCCGTGGTCTAGTGGTTAGAGCGATCGACTGCTGATCCGAAGGTACCTGGATCGAATTTTACTGGAAGCATTTTTTTTTTTGTTGTTGAATTTTTGATTTTTTGGCGTTTTTCTGGTGTTTTTCTTCATTTTTTCAACCCAAATGACATGGAAAGACTTAAAAAGGTGGAAAGACGTCTTATTGTTCTCTGAACAATTAGTTTACTAGTTTCTCTTTATTTTTGATAAAACTAATTATATATTCTTCCTTTCTTCTCAGCTGAATACCTGAACCTGCACTTACAATGAAAATGCAATCATCATTAATGATCAAATTTATTGAGAAATAAAATAATCAGATTTAGGTTTCCTTTCCCTATCCTAGGTTTGTCACAATAAAGAAAACGAGAAAGGATATAACATTAGCTAGTATAGACAGGAACATGAATGCTCTGTTTAAAGTTCGGTCGTTGGTGTCCCAGCATTTACGTTTCACTTGTTGCTTTTCCTTTTTGTCTGGCTGTACGATACATGTAGGTTCCACTTTGTTTTGGGAAATATCAGAATTCTTGAAATGCTGGTGTAGAACCACAGCCTGAAAGATTACCGTCAATCCACTGAGAAAAAGTTTGTTATTCATATAAACGATGAAATAAGGAGTTGTCTCTGTCGTCGGAAAGTAGTCGTTGACGATAGTTAGAAACACAGAGAACGTTAAGAAGATGGCAATGGAGGCTCCCATTTTTTCTCCCGATTCTACAGGCAGCACGAAACAGAAGATATTGATAAATGATAGCAATATGATGGGGAGCATGATAGAAATAAGGACTTGGGTGGATTTCCGTTGAATATGTAACACGAAGTGAAGCTGTTGCAGCATTCCAAACATGGGGTCCCAAACATTCGATTGATAAACGTGCGATCCAAGCATCTGCCATTCCTCGTTGTGGTGGGAAATGAAGTGGTAGCGAGAACTTGTCTTATTTAAGGTAATGTTTTCATGAGTATGAATCAAATTAGCCATAGAAATGGAACACATCTGCTCGTCAAATGGATATTTTGTGATATCCAGTTCACAAAGAGTTAAACTTTCTCGAGATGTAGTATAAGTAACAATTCCAGTGTTAAGAACTAAAACATCTGAATCTTCACACAAACATTTGTCAACACCCAGTTCATTGATTATGCACACGGACTCTGGGGTCCAAACATAGTTTGATTTGGTTCGCAGAGATGTAATGCCATTGTAGTGAGAAGAATTCCACACAAGACGATGATCAAACCAGGTCATCGAGATCCACAATGAGGCTGCAAAAGTTTGTTTCTTTTCATTGACCTCCCTTATGGTCATAAGACTCATAACAACAGATGCATCTAGCAGGCTATCAGTGTTCCCGTACGGCGATACTCTGGCCTCGTGTCCATCGATAACATTTTTGAACAACTGGGACCGGTTGGTTGCCTCACAGAAGAAGGTAAAACTAAGAGCGATATAAAGGGTAAAGCCAAACATATTTGCTGCAACTAAAACTTGTGCGTTGCAGAGTTAAGCAAAGCAATTCATTTGATAGCTTAGGTCAATATGACCAAAATAATAATAATGACCAGTGTGTAATATATCGCAGGAG